CCCCAAAACCCCAAAACCCCAAAACCCCAAAACCCCAAAACCCCTTTAATTCAAATTACAATTGACCTTAATAAATCTAACTAATTTTAAATAATTTAAAATCTTGCGGAAACATATGGACAGATACATTCCCATGAATCAACACCAGTATGGAAGAGTCTAATATATAGGAACAATGTGTACCTGCATCAAGGAAAATTCAAGCCTTTCAGATTCATCGATATTCCTCATGATCCTTCTTCACCAGACCAAAAGGGTAAAGTTCCGTCTATTTACGAGATTCTGATTTGTCCATAAACCCTTAAACCAATTATAGTGATCGATTATGATCCCAATACCTACACAGATGAAGAAAGTAGTCAAAGGTATGCTATAGATAATTTACTTTAGATCTGAATCTTCCAGAGATCTCTATAATGAGTTAGTTAGCCTCCAGCAGATCATAAAGTAATCCGTGCTTGATACTTTAGAGAAAGCAAGTATGCCAACATTCAGCTTAGTAATGAAAAGGAGGGTCTCCAGCAAGAAGTGGATGAGCTCAGAAATATAATTCATAAACAGAACTCTCTTATTGGGACTGTTAGAGAAAGGTACAGTGAGTTTTGAAAGAAGCTGTCAGATGATAATGACCAGCTTAAATTTCAACTCAAGAACAACCAGGATTGATACACTCTTCTGTCTCAGGAATTTAAGAAAGTCCAGGATGAGAATCATCAGTTGCTACAGAGCCATGAAAATATGAAGAAAGAAATTTCTAAAAGTCAATCTGCAGCTAATGAAATAGCAGGATATAAAAGAGTCATGGACGAATTGTATAAAGATAAAAAGGAACTTAAAGATGAAGTCAGGATTCTCAAGAAGAGAGTCAAGAAGCATAAATACAGATACAGAACTCTTAATAAAGTCCTGAATGACCAACAAGCTATTAAATTCCCTTACAACTGGACTTTTCATAATGCTTCTGTTGAAAATAGAGAAAGCTTAGATGCTCAAACTCAGTTTCATAAGACTTTAAACCAACAAGCCTATTATCCTTCCAAAATTAATAAAGTTAATGATCCACATGATTCTTACGTATGTCATAATGATTCCATTAACGAAAGCAGAGTTTCGAAAAATATGCTCCAAAGATATCCTTCTTATGATAATAGCAATTCAAGGAACAGAATTTTAAAAGACTCCCTTGTAGAAGGGTCACCTGAAGACTCAAGAGTGATAGATCATAAGAACCCTTCAGCTATGGCAAGCAGTGGAAAAGACCTAAAACCATTGATGCCAAATTCAGCCAATACTCCTCTAAAATATCCCAACACACCTGAACTGAATGCTTATGTTGATTTAAAACCAAGACATGAGCACCAAAATTCAGTCCCTGTGAAGAATCCTTACTCAATTGAGAAGATAAAAGCCACTCAAAACAAACCTGGGCTTTTATCCTACAAGGATTACCTTGACAATACCTTTGGCTCTGATAAAAATAAAATACAGGAAATTAAAGTAGAAACTCACCCACAAGTACAAAAGAAAAGCTGTGACAAGAGGAACAAACGCTCTTGCAGCCATTCTAGCATGAAGCATTTCACTGAACCTCCGAAGACAGAAGAAGCCTTTAAGCCTTCCAGGAAGTACTATAATGGCATAAATGGAGGCAATAAGGTATATTCTTGGAGATTATTTGTAGGTTCATCATACTAGTAGAGATATTCAACGATTTGGCCCAACCAGTAGCAAGAAGGGACTGAATGTCTCTCCAACTCCTGCATTGACCTTTGGGCAATCAAGGATGAATTCCAGCCCACAGATTACTGAAAAAGAGAATCAATTGCCTCCCCAAACTTCAGATAATGATGATTCATACAAGGAATCTTCAAAAGTCTCAACTCAGCAGGATAATAATGGAGGACGGAACACCAAAGGTCTGATCCATGAAATTGAGAGCCTGGATGAAGAAATTCTGGTATTGCCTCTATCTTACCTATAGTATCTCCAAAAGACATTAATGGAAGCATTGATTCAAACAAGTACTCAGACTGAATAATTTTAGACTCCAATCTCATCTCTGATGAAAGGGGTTTTGGGGTTTTGGGGTTTTGGGGTTTTGGGG